GCTTGCGGCGCAGGGCGAGCTGGGCTTCGTTGTGAACCATTCGGGCAAGCTCCATACCCAGAGCCGATGCGCGCTGAAAGATGTGTGTGCCAATTCAAAGGCGCGCGGCAGTGGCTGGAGTGCGTTGCACAGCAGTCAGGGTGCAACTATCTACGCGCAGGTGTAGAAAACTGGTTCTATGCGTTTACACACTGACAAACACATAATTTCGACAAGGACCCTCCAGCCACAAAGACGTGAAACAACGTGAAATTTCTCGTTTTTTTCACGGGAATTACTGGCGAAGTGCTTTGAGAGCAGGGGGTGAAAAGAGTGAATTTTCACGGCTTTTGTGGCCTGAATGTTCACGGTATTTTTTACACACCACTGAACAATGTTCAAAGATGTCTGGTTCCGATGCCTGGCAGGCAGTGTTTGCGGTCATCAAGGGAACGCAGGGCAAATCTTGCCTTTCTGCCTACGACATCCAGCAGGCAATCATGAGATGGTTTACTGACAAGAAGATCTGGCCTATGGGGTTATCCGCGGCAATTCCTTGCTGTCAAGATCGGGCGCTGAAGCAAGGAAACGCTCTCAAGAAATTGGCTCCTGGCCTTGATTTGATGCAGCAGCTTATGTGCGTGTTTTTGCTCAGGCGTTCGTTTGCCTAAGGTTGGCCGATTTCGTCGACTGGTCAAACGGGTGCCCAGCTCAAAGCGAAAGGAGCTGAACAAGCTGAGAGAGAGGGTCGTTGCGTTGGATCTGCCTTGTTTCAAATGCGTTCCGCGGTTGCAATTCAGTGCTGCTATGATGAAAAGAACACACTGCTACAGTTTTGATTGAGCCCTGCGCGTCTGAAGGTTCAGTCCGATGACGATCACACCGCTATTTCGGGCACGAGCAGCAGTTCGGATTCCCTCAGCAATTTGAGCTCTTCCCCTTCCAACGTTGGAGTGGCGCCCAGTGAGAAAGCGTTGTGCTTGGCAAAGCAGATTGCCTTGTATGGTCTTTCCAGACTTATTGCATGTGTACCATCTTGGCGTCGGCCGTGACATGCTTGGATCCATTTTGAGAAGCGTGCTGTCGGAACCACATGTGATCGCAGGGCCAACAATTGATGACCGATTCCAGTCTGCAACAGATCAATTGCGCGCTTTTGCAAGGGCCCGCAAATTACCTCTACGTTTGCACAAGCTGTCAAGGGCAAAGATTTGTTGGAAGTCTCGAACCTTCCCAGAGCTGAACAGCTCTGGATACGACACGTACGTGGTGGGCTCTTGGTTGGAAAACGAGCTTCTGCCACACGCAGACAGGTATCCAGACTTTACACATTACTTTGGTCTGCAAACCATTCGCTTGGAGTTCTATCGAAAGCAGGGCGATGGCCGACGACTTTGGAGCGAGACAATGTGCGCGCAGCGGGCCGCGCCTTTATGCAAACCTACATACGACTGGCTGGCGATGCATCTGCGCAAGGAAGTTTCCTGTTTCGGGTGCGACCCAAAACCCATTTGTTGCATCACCTTTTTCGAAGCCATCGCCTTCCAGGTTGAACTGTTGTGTGTGTTCCACGTGGATGGATGAGGACTTTCTGAAGAAAATCGCCAAAGTGCTGAACTGACCAGTCAGAAGTCAGCCCAGCATCGATGCCTCCAGAGGTGGCTTTTTGGAATGCCAGAAGTTTTGAAGAGAAAGCTGCGCCACGCGCAACAGCCTGACCGACCAACCAAACCTCCCACATGTTCTGCCTCACCTCTCTCCTCATTACATAGATTGGCTGCGCCCCTTAGGAGCTGGACTTTTCATGGCCATCATGGAGGGCCAACAACGAGAACAACTATGACGATGCCGACCTGCCGGTCACGCCCACGCAGTCCCCTTCATATGAGATCGTGGAGATTGAGGATGGTGATGAGTCGATGGAGGAAGTCGTCATTGAAGAGTTGGAGCCGCCCAAGCCGATGAAGATGCTGCTGACACCAGCCCGCCGCTGCAACTGCTGTCACTTCCCAGGATTCAGCGGATGTTTTGGCGTGGTGACATCGGGCTGAAGGACCTCCTCGCATGCATCGGCCGGACCCGTGATGAAGATCTACACACGGCGTTGATGCCGGGGATTGATATTCCGGTGGAGGAGCTGGACTTGTTGCCTGGGGCATCGCCACCTTTGTATCATGAGGCCATGCAGTTGCTATTGCTCGGCATGAATAGATTGGCTGCTGATGCCACTGATGCCGATGCAATATGTTCGCCAGTTGAATCGTGTGCGGCAGCCCCTGGCAGCATGGACGGTCACAGCCCGACAGAAGTGGTCAGTGACTCTGATTGAGATCCATTCAAAACACCCGGTAAATAGTACTAACTTGGTACCACCCCAAACCTGGCTCAAGGCTTCATCTATCACTTGCATGGCATGTTCAATGTTCAATGTTCTATGTATTTTCTCAATGGGGTTTTGATCTGATGTTCATGTTCCATCCTGGTTCACTCCGCCCACGTGGTGAAAGCCCACCTCAGCAAGACCATCCGTGATGATCAAGCAGCAGCGGCCGCTACCAGCAACCCGGATGTGATGGGTCTGATGGGGATACCAGGAATCAGGGATGTTGCTGACCCAAGCGAGATCTAATCTGGGTTTACATGGCAGGGATTCTGATTCAGAGATGCCTTTTCTTGGTGCCGCCATTCTTGGGCAACCCATGAAATATTTTACCATTTGGTTTTTACATGACAGGGATTATGATTCAGGGATGCCTTTTTTTGGTGCTGCCATTCTTGGGCAACCCATGAACATCATACCTAATTTGGGTTTACATGGCAGGGATTCTGATTCAGGGATGCTTGGGTCGTTTCCACGTCATTTGACATCCCTAGCATCGCGGTGCTGCCATTCTTGGGCAACCCATGAGAATCGCATCGGTGGTTCGAACAAATTAACCCACACATCCATTCCGGCCCCGATTACTGTATGGCAAGGGACATCCTTTTGTATGTTGCAGTCCTAACAGTCTTATAACACATTGCCAGGTTGTTGCTGATGTTGGGCTAATCATGTCAGTCATTGGTGGTGGTTATTGTTGTTGTCGTTGTCGTTGTCATTGTCTTTGTCGATGTCGTCGTTGTTGTTGTTGTTGTGGTGGTGGTGGTGGTGGTGGTGGTGGTTGTGTAGCAGCAGGATACAGGGAGGAAGGAATGGTGAGACCCTTCCCCTCCTGCATTGTCGTTGTCGTCGTCGTCGTCGTCGTTGTCGTTGTCGTTGTCGTTGTCGTTGTCGTTGTCGTTGTCGTTGTCGTCGTTGTTGTTGTTGTTGTTGTTGTTGTTGTTGTTGTTGTTGTTGTTGTTGTTGTTGTGGTTGTGGTTGTGGTTTGTGTTGTTGTTGTTGTTGTTGTTGTTGTTGTTGTTGTTGTTGTTGTTGTTGTTGTTGTTGTTGTGGTTGTGGTTGTGGTTGTGGTTGTGGTTGTTGTGGTTGTCGTGGTTGTGGTTGTGGTTGTTGTTGTTGTTGTTGTGGTTGTTGTGGCTGTTGTGGCTGTTATGGCTGTTGTGGCTGTTGTGGCTGTTGTGGTTGTTGTGGTTGTGGTTGTGGTTGTGGTTGTGGTTGTGGTTGTGGTTGTTGTTGTTGTTGTTGTTGTTGTTGTTGTGGTGGTGGTGGTGGTGGTGGTGGTGTAGCAGCAGGATAAATACAGGGGGTAGGAATGGTGAGAGTTTGTGTGTGTGTGTGCGTGTGTGTGTGTGTGTGTGTGTGTTTGTGTGCATGTGTGTGTTTGTGTGTGTTTGTGTGTGTTTGTGTGTGTGTGTGTTTGTGTGTGTGTTTGCGTGTGTTTGTGTTTGTGTTCGTGTTTGTGTCTGTGTTTGTGTTTGTGTTTGTGTGTGTTTGTGTTTGTGTGTGTGTGTTTGTGTTTGTGTTTGTGTTTTGGTTTTTGTGTTTGTGTTTGTGTTTGTGTGTTTGTGTGTTTGTGTGTTTGTGCTTTGTGTTTGTGTTTGTGTTTGTGGTTGTGTTTGTGTTTGTGTTTTGTGTTTTGTGTTTGTGTTTTGTGTTTGTGTTTGTGTTTGTGTGTGTGTTTGTGTGTTTGGGTGTGTGCGTGTGTGTGTGCGTGTGTGTCCGTGTGTGTGTGTATGTGTGTGTGTGCATGTTCGTGTGTGTGTGTGTGTTTGTGTTTGTGTTTGTGTTTGTGTTTGTGTGCGTGTCTGTGGGTGTGGGTGAGGGTGTGGGTGTGGGTGTGTGTGTGTGTCTTTGTGTGTGTGTTTGAGTGCGTGTGTGTGTGTGTGTGTGTTTGTGTGTGTGTTTGTATGTTTGTGTGTGTGTGTGGTGTGTGTGTGTGTGGTTGTGTGTGTGTTTGTGTGTGTTTGTGTGTATTTGAGTGTGTGAGTGTGTGTTTGAGTGTGTGTGTGTGTGTGTTTGTTTGTTTGTGTGTGTTTGTTTGTGTGTGTTTGTGGGTGTTGGTGTTGGTGTTTGTGTTTTGTGTTTGTGTTTTGTGTTTTGTGTTTGTGTTTGTGTTTTGTGTTTGTGTTTGTGTTTGTGTGTGTGTTGTGTGTGTTTGTGTTTGTGATTGTGTGTTTGTGTTTGTGTTTGTGTGTGTGTTGTGTTTGTGTGTTTGTGTTTGTGTTTTCTGCTTTGTGTTTGGTGTTTGTCTTTGTGTTTGTGTTTGTGTTTTGGTTTGTGTTTTGTGTTTTGTGTTTAGCTTTGGCTTTGGCTTTGTGTTTGTGTTTGTGTTTGTGTTTGTGTTTGTGTGTGTGTGTTTGAGTGTTTCTCTCTGTGTGTGTGTGACAGGTGTGGTTGAATCAAGGTGGAAACCCTGCCCCGTTCTTTCCAACCGCATCCCGTTCTTTTCCTTCCAAGCCCATGGAAGTCATCAGATAAGGGCAGTCCCTGTCCAAAAATTGAAGATGCGGCCAAAAACGCGCTTTTGATTCTTGACATTGTGGGTAGATCTTTTCGTGTCCTGTTGGTTGAGTTTGTTTGAACACGGGCACTGGTTCCCGTTAGCAGGCACTGCCACCCCGGACTTTTCACTCGTCGCCAGGAGTTCACACCGCGATCGATCTCGACGCTTTTCTACGCTTGACGCCAAGGGGTCAGGGTTTGAAGGATCCGGCCCGTTTATTTGGGAAAGGGGATGTATAGTTTTCAATTGTTCACACCCAGTTTTCTTCGCCCTTGGTGCTGCTGACGCAGAATGACTGTCCCGCAGGTTCAACTAAACTGATGGTGGGTGTGCGTTTCATTTCACGGGGATCCTTCAGTTTGGGGCAATACCCCCTGTTTATCCGTGCTTTCGGTGTCTACAAACAAATATGTGGAGGGGGCAGGGGCCGGTGGCCTCAAAGGCAGTGTAAAATACCAAATTATTCCGGGCATTTAAACCTGTAGGCCCGGCCCGCGGCGCGGTCATCGGAGATGGTCCAAAACATCTGTTTAAGTGTCCGCATGTTCATTTAGAGAGGCAGGTTGGAGGAGTTCTCACTGTTTGGGCTCCAACTGTAGGGGCTACAACAAACAGTTGGAGTTCCCACTGTGAGGGTTCCACTGTTTGGGCTCCAACTGTAAAAGCTACAGCAAACAGATGGAACTCCCAAACTGTTGGGCTCCAACTGTGGGGGTTACAACGAACAGTTGGAGTTGCCACTGTGGAGGTTCCAACTGGTTGAGCTCCAACTGTGTGGGCGACAACAAATAATTGGTTTCCCACTGTGAGGGTTCCAACTGTTTGGGCTCCAATTGTGGGGGCTGCAACAAATAGTTGGAGTTCAGTGGGCTACACCAGTTGGAGTTCCTGTGGGCTTCTGTCAGGGTTCCAACTGTTCAGGCTCCAACTGTGGGGGCTGCAGCCAACAATTGTACTGTGTGGAATCCAGCTGTGGGGCCACAAGAAACAGCTGGAGTTGCCACTGTGGGGGCTACAACAAACAGTTGGAGCTCTCACAACAGGACTCCATCAGTGGGAACTACAACAAACAGTGGGGTCCCACTGTTAACGGCTGGGGTTCCAACTGTCACGGGCGGGCCAGTTTTTGTTTCCAGGTTCGCCAGCCGTTTAAGAGAATGCCCCCGTTCTACACCAGCAACGTCAACATCTGAATGGGAATAATTCAGACACTCCGAGCGTCAGCAAAAGCTTTGGTTTCTTGTTTAAGGTGGGTTTGGGCCCCAACTCCAACTGTTTGTTGTAGCCCCCACAATTGGAGCCCAAACAGCTCATTTGGAGTTGAGCCAAAACATTTGGAGCCTTTTCAGTTGAGCTCCTTCGGGAAAGGTTGTCGGGTTGCAGTGGTAGCTTTCCGGAAAGGCTAGGATTCCCAGAACGAGCTCGAAGCTTCAGCCACAAAAACCCAAAGATCCTCTTTGGCGTAACTCCACCAAACTGAGTATTACTTCAAGTTGGCAGAAAAGGGTATTTCATGTTGAGGGGACTCCAAAAATGTGGTTTTCTATTTGGTGTCCCTTTAACACAACCACCAAAACGGGAGTTTTAGGAGAAACCTACGGATTGTTTTTGGATTGCGGATTGCAGCGGGAAACGAGAAACCAGACTGCAGAGGCCTGGGGGCTGAAGAGGTTCAAGTGCAAGTTGCTCAAGCCTTTCAGCATCTCCGCCAGGACAGAATTTGCGTGCGTCTTTGGGGGAGGTTTCACGAAAAAGCGAAAGGAGTTCCCTGAAAGAAGCGCGATCACACGCGCACACACACACACACACGTTTGGGGTGGGGGGTACTTTATCTAAAGGACAAAAGGAAAACCACAGATCCTGGATTCGTATTTTGGATTTTGGTGTATGGGGGCCCGAGCTGGCATCCAAGACGACACCCCTCCCAACGGATGGTCTTCGGTAAGGCTTTAACGAGGCCTCAAATCGTTTATTTCGGGAGCACCCCCGCTTCTGGTGGGAAACCAAATGGATGCCGTGCGCCAATTTTTACCCTGACAGGGTCTTTGGAGCAACCCAATGGTGCATATTTGAGTCACTGAAAGACATGAGTGGTCTACTATTGTTTTGGGCGGGACATGGGGCGGCCCGAAGCGCAAGGAAATGTTGTGATTCGTGATACATTTGTAATTTTGTCCACACAATCAGGCGGAGGGAAAGCAACGGGGGACCACCCATTTCAGAGGTTTCCCATTTGGACACACACACACAAAATTGCGGTTCGTTCGGTCAATAGATGTTCTTTTAGCGTTCTGTTCTTTGTGGATCAGTGAGCCTGGCAGATTGGTAGTCCTTCGCCTGCTTCAACATGGGTCAGCCCCCAATCAACATCAACAGAGGGTGTATGAATCAGCTGGATTAGCAGGTGCCCAACCAAGGCCTTTGCTCAATGTTAATGGGAGCCTTTGGTCCCCATCAAAAGACGTAGCATGACATTAACCATAATATGGAGGAATTGAACAAGCCCTGCGCTTGCTTGCGAGGACGCGCCTAAAGGAGTTCGACCCGCAGAGCCGCGGCCCTGAGCCACGACGCCGCCGGAACTGGTTGCCATGCAGATTCCAAGGGGTGCTCTTTTTTTCTGAAGGAATCTGAGCAAATGAAGCAACTGACGCCATATGTTCGTTCCCTACTGGACATGGGGTACATGTGCCAAAAAAGGACTGGTCACCAGAATCCCATAAATCCAATTGGGGGATGTTGACACTGGTTCACTGATTTATAAAGGGGTTCCCCATGAGTTTGACACTTGGAGGCATTCTTTGAATGGGATAAGGTTTAATGATACCTACACGTTGATGTATTCTTTGATTGGGGGAGTACCCCACAATTCGAGGGACCTGCTTCTCAGTTTTGGAGGGAACGCCCCCAGAATAGTGGGGTCAATACTGTGGAGCTAAAGATGTAGACGGTTTCCCCGTGATGTTGGGTTGGCGAATGATCAACACAAACGCAAGGGGCTACATACTTACAAAATCGCGCTTCCATGATCATGTGCCATTTGTTTTAATAGTGCCCCCCAGAATATCCTCATGTGAATCATTCGGGTGTGGTTTTTTAAAGGGGAGCCCCCTCCCCCCCCCCCCCCCGAAATGGTGTTTTTTCTTTTGCTTTCCGTCTAAAGTCACAAAGAAGAGGTCTTACACCCATTTCTGCCCTCATAGTAGCGGAAAACAAAACACAAAAAGCATCACTTCTAGTGTCGACCCCCTGAATCCACCTGGTCAAATCGGCTGTTTTCCCAAACAGTTAAGGATTCCAGCTCTATTCAAAAGCAGAATGCATCACCTTTGTACTCATGAGAACTCACCGCTTCCTGGGTAAAACGAGCTCAAACCCATGAAGGTTTCCTTGGAGTCAATAGCAATTGGTGCAGACCACTTCTAGCTAGACCTGCAAAGGTGCAATCCATGACTCCTGCCAACTTGAAGCGAATAGCGTCGTTCTGCAGCGGGTACAGCAATTCTCGTCGATTTTCGAGGTGCTCCAAAAACCATTCCTGCGAGATGGGTGCAAATAGTAACTCTAAGTGTCCCTGAGAAACCTGCAGAACATGTTGCCGGAAATCCGTGTTTCTGGGTGCTTGGAACTCCTATTTCAACAAAATCTCGGCTCTGGTTTTGAACAAAGGGGTCCGGTCAACAGGCCATACGTTTGACACCCCCAATTTTGGGGTGTCCCTACCTTTTTTTTGGTTGGTTTAAGGGGAACGCTTCCTTCCCAGGGTTTCGCACGAGTTTCCACAGTTTGCCGCGGGTTTCCTGGGTTTCCACGCAGGCTTCCGCAGTTTCCCGCAGGTTTAGTTTCCATGCAATGTTTGCGGGTTTGCAATTTTCGCGCAGGTTGACGCAAGTTTCCTGCACAGCGGGTTTCCGGGGTTTGGCTCGGTTCCGCCCCTTCCCTTTCAGCGAGGTGGACGCGAGATCTTGCAACCCTCTAAGCAGCGCTGTGTTGTGTAACATTTTGTGAGGGTGGGTTAAAGGCTGCAAAGCCACAATTTGTTGGGGTCCCCCCAACAGAGACGGGCACGGTTTTTGGCCCTTGCACTCAGTCACTCGGCACAATGCGCTCGGGGCGAGGCATAGCCAACATGGTCTTCGGAATGGGCCTCCTGGGCTGGAGTCCTCAGGTCCGAGTGAGCGCCCAAGCGTCCAAAAAGCGTCCAAAAAAGGCCATTTGATAAATTTGATAGGTGATTCTACCAGGTTTCATCCGAGTTACAGTGCCGTATAATCTCGAATGATTAGGCAGGCGAGGTTTTGTGCGCTGCTCAGGTGAGAGCCCAAGACCGGGGTTTGGCTATGAATGTTGATAGTGAACCACCCAAGTAAATGATGACCCATGCTCATATGAGAGGCTAAGTTGATCACGACTGTTTTGTAAACACCACACCCTACAACCTCGTTCTAGTACTGATTTCGTGCTCCTACAATATGCGTGTCTGGCAAGAAAAGACGGAAGGCATATATCTCAGCAAAAGGCGCTAAACTGGGGCGCATTCTCAGGGCTCCATGTGCGTGTGCTCGAGCAAGTCCTCATGCCACCCAAGAAGTCGATCCAATTTAGACTGCCGCTCGAAAAGCAGGAAGAGGCCTGTTATGTTCCTTCTGCGAGCCGCATGTCCAAGATGAAACCAGATATTTGGCTCGTCGACTTTGTGTGGCCTCTATATCCTACTTTCAGGCAAGAGCAGACGAGTCTTGTTCATCTCCTTTTCATTTGTTGAGATTAGTTAAGAGAAGGAGATGGTGAGAGAGGCATCACCAGCTTGTAAATGAGATTATGAAAGCAAATTGTTGCGGATGGGTGGTCATCTTTGCAACCGCCTCTAGGCGAGTTTATTAGTTGGGAGAGACGGCCTTCATTCGACTTCCCCTTTATCTTTCTTCCGGAAAACGATATGGAATCGGAAGTTTGTTTGTTTTTTTGTGAGGACGCTTTTCAGCCTTCCACACCGCTCCGGGCTTCATGGACTTTGAGGTAAGCAACAAGTCCAGACTTCTTTTTTGGCCAATCCACTCGATGCGGAAGTGAGTAGGGGTAGCCATCACTCAGCCCTCGGGATTCAACCTGAATTCTCTAGTGCCCTGTCATTGCCCTTGCACGGCCCTCTTTGTTGACCAACGCCACTTTCATTTGGGCAATTCCATGTCCATGTTCGGAGGACAAGCTTGAGGGAAGCAGAGCAAGGACATGTGACATTAATGCTATTGCGTTTCAAGGACAGCCGCGATGGTCCAAATACTTTCTGAGGACGGCTAGTGAGGAATAAAAGGGTCGAGATTTCTACTCAGACAGTGCACCCTTAGGGCAAATGCATCATACATCCATAGACGCGCTAGCCATCAGACCATGTGTGATGACGGAGTAGTGTCACACAGACGTGACTGTCATAGGTCTGCGTGCAAAAATATGAATCAGGGGAAAACAAGCTCGGACCCCATGTCCCTCGTGAATCCTTAGTTCAGGTTGGTGGATCAAAGTTGTAGAAGGGGCTAGACAATTAGAACCGGTTTCTGGGATGCTTTTAAAGCAAATCAAGTCGCTCTTTTTCTGAAATGGACCGCCCCTTTTGGGTTCCTTCGTGTTCCTTCCGTTCATTTGCATTAAAAGTATGACTATTGCGAACTTAGTCTCCAGTGGCCTTGAAAAATGGGGTCACTCGAACATGATGCACTTTTGAATAAGCTCCTTTTGGGGGGTCGCGCAACTTTGCGCCCCGCTTGGGGCGCGCCTTGCGCGCGTTGCTTCTGGGAAGAAAAGCGAGACCAAGGCCTGCAGTACGAGGACCGTTTGCTGGAGGAAGTGGGGAAACAGGTGCTGGGGCCCCGGAGGAGGTGCACCTTGTGGACGCATGTGTCTTGAGCTGCAAGTTGGACTGGGTTGTTTGACACGTAGACCTGTCCTTGCATTGGGATTCATGGTGAACGAACAACCCAACAAACTTGACGGTTTAGGTAACCCTGCGGTGTGCTCAGCATGCTATTTGTTTTTGTTTGCTTTTTGAGAGGCATGCTGATTGAATCATTTTGGGCTAAACATTGTGCTCATGTGCAGCGCCTGCAGTTTGGAACCCTGGCTTTGGGTTTGTGTCAGAATTGGTGAACCCCCACATCACCTTCTGTGTCAGAGGAGTGATGCAGGGGGACTTGAGTGAAGCCTTTGCCGCTTTCCTCTCGAGGCCACAGAGGCTCATTGAGTTCCAGTTGGAGGCGAGATATCGCCCCGCCGATCGATCGGCCCGCTCTTGGGTTTCCCTCATGTTTCTCTTGAATTGGCAACAGGCCAAGTTTTTGCAGTGGTCTAAGCGTGGCGAAGAGAATTGCCAACATATTGACCCGATCATGAGTTTACTTGGCTTGAACAAGGCCCCTACCTCGCATTCTGATTAGTTGCCAATGCATGGAATCCGCTGCGCTGGCTTCCCAAACCAGACTTGCTGGACCTTGCAGCGCCCCAGTAGGCGCAGGCGCCACTATGCTTAAAAGGGGCCCTATTCGATTTTGTCAGGCGCAACGAAGACGCGTTAACAGGCAGGCCCCTATTGGGCTTCGGCCCACTTGGGGTGGGTGGACAATGATAGAAGTAACGCAACAGCATGAAAGCCAGTCCGCATGGTCGGAGAATCGGAACTTGCGGGTTCTGAAGAATCTGCGGGACAAGAGGGCCTCACTAAAATCAGGAAGCAGGGTGAGGATTCTTGTGTCCGTGATGTGCAAGTTCGCATGTTTCCAGCCTGGTGGACATGACATTAACCTTGAGGAACTGCCAAGAGAGAAATCCAGAATGGGCGCCCCAAAAGCACTAGGACCCGTAAAGCGCTGGTTGCTTTTGGTTCGACCCCGAAGCCTTCGAATGTTTCTTAAATTGCAGTTTCTAAAACCCGCCCTTGATTTGGTTCATGCCGTCCTGTAACACATTGTTTCCCTATTTTGGTGATTAACGTTTAGTAGCATTTTACAACTTTTCGGATGATCGAAACTATTGCAATCCCCTTCGCAGTGGCTTTCCACCGATCATGGATTGGGATTGGGCAACACTCATTTTGAACAGCTTAGTACGTTGCCACCTCCCCTCCTCCTTTTTGGTTGCGATGTCATAAAGGTTCCTTTTTTTATGGCTTCCTGATTCTCGGTTGAACAGCGACCAAGTGTTTGGTTACGGAGCTGGCACCTTGCGCAGGAGGTGATTAGCATGGCCCTGGCCCCAGTGATTCTCGAGGTCGGAAGGGCACGGTTTCTCGGGGGAGTTCCGATATTTCTGTTTTGTTGGTTCAAGTTTGTCATGGCCTTAAGCACCTTTTGGAGCGCCCAGTTTCAGTTGGGTGTCTTTTTTTGTTGAGGGAACCCCTTCTTGGTTGGTTTTAAAGGACCGCCAAGAGGAAAGCCACCATTTTGGGGAGTTCGGAGTCCAACCTTACAAAAAACAAGACACGCTGAGTTGTTCTTGCTGGAGCTTTTAGGTTGGACAATTGCAGTTGGATTCGATTTATGTGGAAGCACTTTTGTTCCAGGAGGTGAGACTCCAGGAGTACGGTTATTGGCCTGCAGATTCCCCTCGCCCGGGCAGAGCTCGAGGATTCATGTGTCCATTTGGGCCCGAGCCATTTGCAATTTCGACCCACTCGATTCAACAGATCGCTCAAGCAGACTGCGCACCAAACTTGGCCATTTGCAGGAGATGCTCAATGGGTCTCTTTTTGTTGAGGGAACTTTGTTTGGGTTGGTTTGTATACAGGGAGAGCAAAGCCATTGTTGGGGTGCCGATTCCTATTTTTGAGAGAATTCCGGACAGCTTGAAGGGTTCTGTTTGAGATATACTAGTTGACATGTTGTCGAAACTAAAGTTTGAAAGATCGCCGGTTCAGCGTTGGTGAAATGGAGTGATTGGCTAGGGGAGTTGCCATGGTGTTCCCCAAACGGGATTCACAAATGGTTTCCCAGGATCGAGAAGTTGTAAGGTTGGCCCCGAACAACAAGCGTGGACCCTGCTTTACTCATTTCGCAAGACCACGAGCGTGAATCCGTGTCACTTGGAGGGGCCCGAGTACCAGCTTTGAGACGTGTCTCTGTATTTCCTTCTCAGAGCGTGCATTTTGCAAAGACAACCCCCGAAACGTTGGTGGTCGAACGAGACGATGCAAAGAGTGTCAAAGGAGTATGTTACAGGGGACGAACAGGTGGAATCTGCCTGGGCGCAAGGAGGCATACCCGTACAGGACTGTTTCGGCCTTGCCGGAGGTAATGGTTTGCTCCAGGTCCAGCGTGCGCGGAGGCGGAATTCACGAGCAGGTGAAGAAGATGGAGCAGTTCTGGCCGCCCGCACACCCGAAAGAAGAGATGCTTTCAATAGAGCCGGATCTAGATGGTGCAGAAGCTATCAGAAGCTCAAGCAGGCTGCGCATTGCAGGACTCAGCTTGCAAAGTGAGATAGCTCACTCCAAGCTGGAGCTTGCAGAGATCTACAGATGATTGTGGTATGAGCTTGACATTGCAGTTCGCCTTGTTAACGGTTCTGCAAATTTATGGGCCCGGTGGAAAAAGACAAGCTGGAGGATTATTGAACACAATGGAAATTTTAGCACGCTTAAACGGAAGAGCCTCCTTGAACGAGGAGCCAACAGTGGAGGATGTTTGCACACTAGGAATGCCGCCCCGCCCACTAGCACGAGGCAATCATTTGTACTTGGTTAGGTACGGGTGTCATCATGGGGGAATTTGGGTCATGGGCCGGTGTGGGCAGGAGGCTGGGCTCCCTTGTTTTTGCCAACGCTCACCTCATCCAGAAAGCTCTTCCAGGGCCCTTTCAAGGTGCCCCAACTGCTACGTGGAAGAACAAGTGGGAAGGGAAGATCTCGGCAATTCGCTTCGCTGAGTTCTACTCGTTGGGGAAGCTGCGGTATTCCCCGGCAGAGGGGAAACTGCTGGCGGCCATGGGCGACTATGTAGCTTGGCTGGGCTCTGGGGTGGGGTTTGGGGTTGTGACGGGGGGAGAGCAACCCCAACCTTTGTTCCGTGTTTTGACATACACGACCCCAAGTGGCTTCCAGGTTCCCACAGCTCATGCGTTTGTAGGAGGATTCATGAGAATCAGTTTGAAACTGGGCAATGGGCAAACGGTAAATCTTGACCGGGACTCGGGTAATCTGCGTCTTCCCGAGGAGAAATCATTCCCTTGAATGCAGGTCACCCAAGCAAAGTTTGGGCATGCCAAGCGGTTTGGATCATGTGATCGGCCAATCCCAAACTGGATTCGGACAGCATATCAAGATATATCAAGCAGTCAGATGGTCACTCACAAACTTCCCGATGTCCTCAATGGCAACCGCAAATTCTGACCGAGGCTACATCCTCTGAGATCTGTTTTGGTTGAGCGCAATCTGACCTTCAGATGCGGAAGGGCTGGGGAAGGAGGCCAACTTGTGACGCATGTATGCTCTGAAGCACTTGGGATTGCTCGGGATGGTCATGGGACCCGGAGAGGGAGTTTAGCTTAGGCTTCCCACTTCGGAGCGTCTCATTTTAGATTCGACGGCTTCGCTTTGGCCTAGGTCAGGCTTCGCTTTGGGCATGTACTGTTGGCTGGTGTAAAGCATGACCAACACATAAAGATAGATCCGGAGTTGTGTTGAAATAGGTGACCCCCACCCCGGCCGGAGGAAAAAAAACAACCAAACATAGTGTGGTGTTCCTGGTGCTTACCTTTCAACTCAGCAAAACAAAATCGGGTGCCGAGCCTCAAAAACAAGAACAGCAAGCCCTCGTGGCTCGGCTTGTTTTGGTTTCGCCAACTTTTTACCGTCGGGTCAGAGCAACGATGGAGGTTTCTGGGTAGCAAGGCGGGTGGTCTTAAAATGAAACCAAAAGGGACACCCTCCATTCTGGAGGTCCTTGACACACGCACACCCTTTTGGGAAGACAGTTTCACTGAGGGATTTTTGAAGATCTGGCCAATCAGTTGCTGGGAATTAAGTCACAGAAATGAGGCTGTCGGATGCTGCGAGTAGGTCATTGACCGAATCGACACCTTGGGGCCCACGCGTCTCTTGAAAGTCGTCGGGAGCCTCGGCGGTTCGCGCCCGGACAAACCTGGAGCCTCAGCTTTGGGGTGGGTTCCCGAAAGCTATGATGTGGTTGGCCACCAAATCGCAATATGTTTGAGGTCGGTCCCAGTTTCCAGCAGTTTAAGAGGGACATGGGGCAACTCGTTAAATTGCAAACACAAACCATCGGACTCACAGAATTTCTCATGTTTTATTAGGGGAATAGTATCGGCTCACATCATTCTATATTTCGAGTTTGATCAAATGTGTAGAAAAAAGGTCACCCTGCGGACGCAGATGGGTTTCCGGAAGTGAGCACAGTCGCGAATTTGTGTGAAGCAGTGCAATGCTCAAACCACATAGGCAAACTTGTATTCTTCCATTCGCCAGTTGGTGTTAGAGGGCATCAATTGTGACTTCCTGTATATAAATATATATACATACATATGTTAAAAAAGAAGAACCTGCCAGCGGACTTAAGCAAATGGAAGTACTGTATACGGGCAATGGTCAAAGGACCTGCTACTTTGGAGTCATCGATTGTCATGGACCCTTGACCATAGGGGGCATATCTACAAAATACGACCCTGGCCCACAAAAGGAGTTTTCACCATGGCACAGGGAATTTCGCTGGTAAAGCCAAGCGGGACAAGCTGGAACGGGTAAGTTTGCAAACTGACGAATCATTTTTCGACTGGCTCGCCATTTGCTTGGGACATCCCCACCCCTTGATTAGCCTTGCGGAAATACTCCGGAATTCGCAAGGTTTGTTTTTCGCCCAAACACATTCCTGTCCAACCCTGGAAGGTGTTCTTTCATGTTTGGCAGTGTACTTGGCTGATCGCTTGATTCTGTGAATGAATGGATCTGTCTTTTGGAGGGTACCCCCTGTTGGTAGGTTTTCAAAGGAAACACCCTTTTGAGAGTTCCGCTGTTTTGAGACGAACCTTAAATGATGACTCTTGTGTCCAGAAATCTGCTTAGTGCAGAGCACGACAGCACCTTAGGCGTAGAGATGGATTATTCCAGATGGATAGGTGCCTCCAGAAATGGAGGGCTCGGAAGAAACTGGCATGCCGTTTGGTTGCTCTTGAAAGCGTATGGCACGTGAACAACAGAGCTGGCAACGAAGCCTGTGAAGGATCCAGCAGAGAGTGTTTTTCTGGCAGTAGAGCGAGAACAAAAATATGGGGCGAACGAATTACACGGTATCCTCTTGGTATGACATCATTTAGTTTTCAATAAGTCCCCCACCACATTCTAATTATTGAACGGCCCTTTCACACTGTGAGTAGTCACCAAACTGCAGTCTGCAGTGTGCTTTTTTGAGATTTGCCCAGACTGAAACCCAGGCCCCCTTTTGGGGAAGCAACGTAAGGGGCTAAATAATTGCCACCTGGATCCGGTACCTTTTAAGAAATCATCACCAGCCAAATGCCAAAAGACTGAGGAAACCTAAGGATCCTGGACCTCAGGCCTCCATCTATATTCTCTGGAGAATCCGAGCCATTCTTGTCACAAACCTGTGGTGACCTTTTCCTTTTATTTGAAATCAACCAACAAGTCAAGCTCAACAAAAATACACGAGAAAACGACAAACACCAAACACATGAGAACCGAAGGGTTTGTCGGGTGTCGTTTCCCAACGAAACCTGAGGTGGAGGCAGCGAACCAAGTGGACTTCCCCAAGTCCAGGCGATCGCGATTGAAAGTCGAGAGAGAGAGGCCTCCCGTCGCGTCTCTGGCTCCAAGGAAGTTTGTTGCCTGGGTATGTGTCAACTTTAGGGCATCTCCAAAAGTGTTCCTTTAAACCATCCTGAAAGGGGCCTGAAAGGGGTACCCTCAAAAAAACTAGAGGACGATTGGCCCGAAAGCATTTTCCCCAAGCGTTTCCCATCATGTGCTTTTCCAGCCGCGGAGACGCCCTTTTACATCGATGCACCAGCTTCTGCAAAGCAGGCTCGTGCAACTTGGCTCTATGTAACTTGACTCTATGTAACTTGGCTCTGTGCAACTTGGCTCTGTGTAACTTGGCTCTGTGCAACTTGGCTCTGTGCAACTTGGCTCTGTGCAACTTGGCTCTGTGCAACTTGGCTCTATGCAACTTGACTCTATGTAACTTGGCTCTATGTAACTTGGCTCTATGTAACTTGGCTCTATGTAACTTGGCTCTATGGTAACTTGGCTCTATGGTAACTTGGCTCTATGGTAACTTGGCTCTATTGTAACTTGGCTCTATGTAACTTGGCTCTATGTAACTTGGCTCTATGTAACTTGGCTCTATGTAACTTGCTCTATGTAACTTGGCTCTATGTAACTTGGCTCTATGTAACTTGGCTCTATGTAACTTGGCTCTATGTAACTTGGCTCTATGTAACTTGGCTCTATGTAACTTGGCTCTATGTAACTTGGCTCTAATGTAACTTGGCTCTATGTAACTTGGCTCTATGTAACTTGGCTCTATGTAACTTGGCTCTATGTAACTTGGCTCTATGTAACTTGGCTCTATGTAACTTGGCTCTATGTAACTTGGCTCTATGTAACTTGGCTCTATGTAACTTGGCTCTATGTAACTTGGCTCTATGTAACTTGGCTCTATGTAACTTGGCTCTATGTAACTTGGCTCTATGGTAACTTGGCTCTATGTAACTTGGCTCTATGTAACTTGGCTCTATGTAACTTGGCTCTATGTAACTTGGCTCTATGTACCTTGGCTCTATGTAACTTGGCTCTGTGCAACTTGGCTCTGTGCAACTTGGCTCTGTGCCACTGGGCTCTGTGCCTATGCTGCCGACGGCGTAAAAGCGAAAGCATGTCTCAAGGTAAACCAAGCCTCAACTCGTGCGGATCCTCAACTCAAGCGTGCACGCAATGCTCCAAAAATTATCGGAACAACTGCCGGGTGCAAAGGCTGTTGCTGAGAAGTCTTGCTTCAATGCTGCATGTGGAAATGTGCGAAACACTCTTAGCAAACACTGCAGGTAAATTTGACTTCACCCTGAAGGACGGCTCTGCCCACCAAACAAAAAGAAACAAGCCAGCAACCGGCTCCTGCCCGAGTCAGACACAAAAATCGCTATGTCGTGAAAGCGTATGTTTCTGCAAAGCAGGCTCGTGTAACCTAGCTCTGCGCAAGATGGCTCTGCGCAGCTTGACTCTGTGAAAGTTGGCTCTACGCAAGCTACTTTACGCGAGTGGCTCTGCGCAACTTGGCTCTGTGAAGCGTGGCTCTGCGCAAGTCTGCTCAGCGCACTGTGCTTTGCGCAAGTTGCGCTGCACGATTTCTCACGAAAGTGATCTGCGCAAGCTGCATTGTTCCAGGCTGCTGCGCGCAAGTTGCTCTCTGCAAGCTGCTACGCGCAAATGGCTGGACATCTGTCTTAGACTGTTCTGCGCACGTTGCTCTGTGCAAGTTTCTCGCCGCCAGACGCTCGGCGCTTGTATCTGCGCACAAGATGCTCAGCCTGCGCTGCGCACACACCCGTGCTACTACGTATGTACTCAAAAGTTACAAATTTCCAGCTGGAGCTGCGGAGGCGCTCCGCGTGCTACGCTTGTACTTAAAGGCTGCGATTTTCCAGCCGGAGATAGCCGGAGCTGCGGGAGCACGCTCCGCGTACTACGTTTGTAAATAGAAGCTGCGATTTTCGAGCCGGAGCTGCCGCGGACCAGGGGGGAATCGAGCCCGCGACCGTGGGATTGCGAAGCAGGCGCACAAACCACAAGACAACTTCCAAAGGCCGTTTCGCGAGCAAGAAACTCGCACGGCGCCACAGCGAGAGCACTTCGACACGCACAATCTCCGCAGAGGGTTCGCCGAGACTAAGACAAATTCGCACGGCGCCACAGCGAGAGCGCTTCGACGCGCGCGATCTCCGCAGAGGGTCGCGCGCGCACCACGAAAATCGTAACTCGACCATGCGAATCTCCGCAGGGGGTCGCGCGCGGCTTGCAGAAAATCGTAGAAAGCCCCCAGTTTTTGAACCTCGACCACGCGAATCTCCGCAGAGGGTCGCGCGCGCATATTAAAAATCGTGAAAAGTCCCCAGTTTTTGAACCTCGACCACGCGAATCTCCGCAGAGGGTCGCGCGCGCACCGCAGAAATCGTAAAAAGTCTCCAGTTTTTTAACCTCGACCATGCGGATCTTCGCAGAGGGCCGCGCGCGGACCGCAGAAATCGTAAAAAAGTCCTCAGTTTTTTAGCATCGACCACGCGGAGCGCCGCAGAAGGTCGCAATCCCGAGAGTGATCAAACTGCCCCGGCGCCTTAGAAACCTAAACTAACTTACATAGCTGCTTACGCCGAAGCTCTACGCAAGCTCTACCTAACCTTGGCTCTGTGCCACTTGGCTCTGTGCCACTTGCCACTTGGCTCTGTGCCACTTGGATTTGTGCCACTTGGCTCTGTGCCACTTGTCTGTGTGCAACTTGGCTCTGTGGCACTTGGCTCTGTGCCACTTGGCTCTGTGCCACTTGGCTCTGTGTAACTTGGCTCTGTGCCACTTGGCTCTGTGCCACTGGGCTCTGTGCCACTGGGCTCTGTGCAACTTGGCTCTGTGCCACTTGGCTTTGTGCCACTTGGCTCTGTGCCACTTGGCTCTGTGTAACTTGGCTCTGTGGCACTTGGCTCTGTGTAACTTGGCTCTATGTAACTTGGCTCTATGTAACTTGGCTCCATGTAACTTGGCTCTATGTTTTGGCTCTATGCAACCTGGCTCTATGTAACTTGGCTCTATGTAGCTGGGCTCTATGTAACTTGGCTCTATGTAACTTGGCTCTATGTAACTTGGCTCTATGTAGCTTGGCTCTATGTAACTTGGCTCTATGTAACTTGGCTCTATGTAACTTGGCTCTATGTAACTTGGCTCTATGTAACTTGGCTCTGTGCAACTTGGCTCTGTGTAACTTGCCCAAGGGCTCCGCACGGAAGAACCCTTCGCGATGCTTTCGGGAACACAAACCCAGAGCAGGTTATAAAGCATGGCTGGTGTTTTTGCAAAAGACTCTTAGACTTTTGAACACACATGCTGCTTTTCATTAAGCCTACAAAACGTGAGCCACCTTTTGCTCAGGGGTGTAGAACAATCCCAGTAAGTGATAAGTTATGAGGGTTATCAAGATTACGAGGATGACAAGGACATATGTCCAAACTACAAGACAAAGGATTATTTTAAAGGAGAAAGGATGATACGACACATTGTCTCTCTTTTTTCTCTGTTTGGGCTAGCTTGTTTGATTGCGAAACCCACTAACCCTCTACTCTCCTTCCAACAGTCATGAAGTGGACGAGAGGGTTGGAAGACGAAACCCAGCCTCTCGAAAAGGCCCCTTGTCCAGTGTCCTACTGCGCGTTTTGCATTTTGGAAACAGAAAGGGTGTGTGTGCGTGGTATGTTTTGTTTATGAGAGGGTACCCATTTTTGGACTGCATCAAGGAAAACCACTGCACACTACCTATTTCAGGGTTCCCGCAAATCAGACACACCCACATCAATTCCCTTAACCTTGCAGGCTGATGAACGTGCTGATGAACCAGATCGCTAGGTGCGGCTGTGCGACGTTGGAGTTCTTGCCTAGACTTGGAAAACTCCAGGGACCCCCTCGAGGAGAACCGGGTTTTTCCAGAGTTTCTGCACTGACTGGGACTTGAGACTCCCATTTGTGTGAGATACGGGCTAAGGGGGGGGATCCCCCCTCTCGTGATAAAGTAGGCGATGCGAATTGAAATCCCATCTTATAGTGTCAGAGAAAGGGGGATTTGCAGCCGCCAGGGTGTTTGTCTACTTTGACCGTTTTCAGCCCTTTTTTGGTTTTGGGCACCCTGTTTCCTTTCCCTAGGGGTTCAAAAGGGCCTTCCCTTGAAAACTGGTTGGTTTTCTGGTTCTACAGGATTGCTCCGAGCCGCTAAAGGCCAAAATTCGATAGCGATCGAATCGGTTGCAACCCTGCATTTTCCCTTTGTCCAAGAGCAAGTTCAACTAGCGGGAACTTCAAACAACTGCCCGCGAACGGCGAAGGACTCATTGTCCTGCCGTACAAATAAAAATAAAATTCGCCCCTCTCCGGATAGCATATTATGCCTTTGGCAACCAAAACGGATCCAAGGCGTGTTTTTTTTCACTATGATAATATATATATATATATATCCGGATTTCACCATGCAACGTTTCGTGGGAAGCACATTTGCCCAACAAGCAGATGCGATCAGGGTCGAATTGGGGAGTTTGCCACGCAAGGTCACATGCCCGCCCCTCGACGAATTTTTCTCTGGGCCAATCATAGCGAGCGCCCGTGAGTAAAAGAACAAAACAAGAGATGACTTTGGAATTCGTGAACAGCGTGAATTGTGATAAATGAGTTGAGGCTTTTATATTCTCTCTTCCGTGAATCCTTGTTCGGCCGTTTAAAGCTCGCAAGATGAAAGATCCCCTGTTGAATGTCTTGAGGGATCCTTCCTCTTGTTTGTTGGGGGGGGGGCTTCAAGGGAACCCAAAAAGAAGAGTTGGGTTCACCCCATTTTGGCACACCGGCCATGGCTGCTCGGCCCAGGCCGAACTCCAATCCCACGGAGATAACGCGAGCAGGGGGGACACACGGACACGCCCCAATTCCCTAAAGCAAAAAAAAAAGGCGAAACTGCCCAAAGCCTGAAAAGCCCTGCAGTCTGAACTCCGGCCTCAAGCCCGCAACTTCTCAAATCCGAAACCCCTTGAGCCCTAGAAACCCTAAAGAAGGTTCGCATTGCATCAAGCCGGCGCGGTGGCTGGGCCTGCTCAAGCATCTCATATACATTGCAAGGGGCAGGGAGATGTAGGGAGGGTTGGGTCAGCCCGTTGTGAATTTCAACAGGTTTAAGCCACTCTGGTTTAAGCAACATATTCTTGTATTTTGTTTGAAGGGGGCCCTGGGGCTACAATTTTGCAACCCTGGTTGGAACTCCAGAATCCCGCGATTGGCTTCCAGGGAGATCAATGGCTTCACGGTGCACCAGATCGTGGTGCTGGCTTCTTGGTTTGCATTTTCATGGGCAGTTTTGCATGCCACGGACACCTCCAACCCGGGGCGGCGAGACAAGGAAAGAGCAAATAGCCCGGGGCGCAACATGGATCTGTCATAGAGCGAAGGGGGCAGTGGGGAAGGGGATTGGGATCCAACGAGCGAGAGGCAAATCAAGTGTCATTTGCCAAAGGCGTTAATCCAAGGATTCATAGGTGTGTCTCTTTTTGGGGCAACTCCAAAAGAAGACACACGCAAGAGTAGAAGTTGGCCAATTTTTCTTGGTCTGATCCTGAGGTTTGGAGCAACGTTTTTGGGCCAAAATGGGGTGCCCCAAGCGCTGTTTCCACATGGGTGAGAGGTCCTCTTGGCGTGGAAGCCACAAAATGCACTGCCGGTGGCTATGATTTTTTTTAACAGATGTCCGCCGGGTCCCGAATTGACATGTTTTTGTAAAGAGGAATGAAGAAGGGCCTCTTCCCATTTCGGGTCTTAGGTGTGTTAGGCGAATCGCTGGAGTGTTGCAAGGTTTCCGCTGAGAGCTTCCCACCCAGGGTTGGTTGCAGTGGCTGAACCAGAGCCGGGCACTGAACTGGCCGTGGGTCAAACATGGGGTAACTCCAAAATGGACTGACCTGGTAAATGGAAACATGGACTGAGACCTGTAGTCCCTTTGGTGGTTTAATGTTGACCCATACCCAACTAGGGTTGTTGAAACAATCCACCTTCTCGTCGCAAGCCCGCTCTGAGGTGCGCTCGTGTGCTCAGGCCGAGGTGAAGCATGCCAAGGGCACCACGGCCGGCGGCTGAGAGATGAGTTTGTTGGAGAGACGGGTTGGGCAAGGGATGGTGAACCAGCCAGCCCATACCCTTCAGAACCAAGGAGAGGTTGTTCAAACAGTGGCGGTTTAAGCATGTTTAAACAAGTTGACCCTACCCCGTTGCTCACTCGCTGGAGCCTTTCAATTGGCATCATGTCCTAAGGTTCACCACATGCGGACCAGAATCTAGACCATAATCTAGCTAGTCCAAGTGCGTAGCTATACGTACCTAAAACTCCTTCTGTGCGATACGTAGTTGGGGGCAAAAGCTGAGGTCGTCTGGAAAAGTATCCAAAAGCCTGTTCAGAGTTGATGCCTGGCGAAATTCCTGCAGATGTCCTTGTCGCTTAGTTCTCAGGTTCTCAGAAAAGCGACCTGGAATCCGGTCATTTGTAGAATTCTGTTTCGGGGAAGGTAGGCAATTCTACTGGCTTCCAGCAGCTCTGTGACTTGGCACTTGCACTCAGCCTTGCATCAGGATGACCCTTAGTTGGTGGTTGGGATTGCTGGTTATTTGGATTGGAACCAAAGGGTAGACAGGAAGCCACTCCTTTCCTTCCAAACCACCAATTGGAGGGAAGCGGATTTGCAGGTTCATTCGCATCGCTTCTCCCCGAATGCTGGTGTTTCCCCCAAAAAACTGGTCCTGCTGAGCAACCCGTGATCTTTTCCAAACGGAAAGCAATCAATAGGGCGGACATGTGTTCAATGCCTCTTTTCATCATCCGGCGGTTTGTATCCTTCTGTTTTCCCTTACTATGTAAAAGGGTCCCCAAGTCTAGAAAACCATAGGCCCAGTTTAGTGGATGATCCCTTTTTTGTTGGCGGGTTCTCTTTAAATTGAACCCGAAAATGGTCGACCCACTAAACATGGTCCGCCCCTGGGAAGCTGGGATGGGGATTGAGACAAGCGGAAAGGACACTTTCAAAGGACCATGAGCAAATGTCACCCCTCGTTCGTGGTTTTACACGTTTTAAACATCACCTTTTGGGCTCTTGTAAGGGGGGATGTTTTAAGGGGAAATAGGGCACCCTGATTTGAAGGGGTCTGGCTTGACTCAGTTTTGACACAGCCCCACATATGAGCAACGGGCATATTACTGGGTCCCTAACGGTTTTGTGGCTGGGGGGAACAGTTTTCAATTCGGGCATTCAACAGGCCAGATATGGGTCCCAAGCACCTTTTGTCAGGTACCCCTCAATTGATGGTTTGGATTGGCGTTGGATTATTTGGATGATGGTTTTGAGGGGCGAAACATGGGTATCAAGAGAAAACGCAAGGGGCGATTGAACGAAACACCCGGCCTTGAAATGTGTGGTGTTTTCACATCGTTGTCCCTGTTTCTCCACACTTTTTGGGGAAGGACAACTGTGTTTTAGAATATTTGGAACACATGTGGCCTGCCAGCGATGAGTTGAGCAATACCTAACTATTGAATTAGGTAGTTGCTGTATTAAATAATCAGTCATTTGGGGCCTTACACAGCAGGCAACCACATTTGTTTTGGGAAGGGATGATAGATGGTGGGAGGCAAACCGTTTGGTTGCGTGTTGTGGCCAATCCACGCAGGACGACTCTTTTTTGGGCAGGGGCAGCCATTTTCCGCAACATCCACCTTTCGGGACAAAATAAAACGTGCGCTTCTCTTCTTTAAGGGAGCTCCATCCGAACCATGGCGTATTTCAGGTTCGGTCCGAAATGACAGGTAGTCCATGGTCCATTTTAACAGGACATGGGACTCACCAATAATTTTGGGCTCACCAGTTTTCCCAAGTGGGCGTGTCATTATTTTAGGGTACCCCTTTTTTGGATGGTTTTGAAGCAATAACAAAAGGAACAACCACCCATTTTGAGGGGCTCCTAAAAAGACGCAGACCCAAGCGAAAACCGCTGATCTGAGGCCATTACTGAGGAGGTCATGAGCCGTCTCAGCGAACTCAACACAGCGAGATTCTGAGCATCAAGATGCCTGTTGTCGTTGCGCCAGTGCCTGGAGGTTGTTTCATGGTTTTCCACGTGGGTATGTGTCAAAACAAGGGAGCCCCCCAACATGCTGGTTCTCTTTTTTGGTTTCCTTTTCCACCAACCGCAAAAATGGACCCTCAAACCAAATCAGACCCGTATTTCTTTTCCAAGTCAATGTGACTTGACAATACCTATACGTAGTTCCGTTCTATGTTTCTGTCAAACTGTCCCGGTGTATCGTTCATTTGCGAGACTCAATTACCCACAAAAGCCAGGAAAGCAAGCCCATTTCCGACCTGGGGAAACAAGTAGTTTTTCAGGCATGGCTCATGCATTTGAATGAGTGGAGTTTTGGAGTACAAAGTCGGACAGTGCAGAAAGTCGGACAGATCTTTGCAACTTACAGCGAGTTCACCTCTTGTTGTTTCCCGATCTTAGCAAGGGATGAAGGTTGAGGATTCTTTACTTCCGGCCAGCTGTTTCAGTGGATCCAACCTTAGGATTCAATAAACGCTTGTTTCCTTGGTCGAGTTAGCGAGGTAGAACACAAAGTGGAGTAGCTCGCACCAGATCAAGCATGTGGAAAGTCGGGTTTTGTACCAAGGGAAACCTGAGTGATGAAGCGGTCAATGGCCATATGGGTCTCGGTCTTTTTGGAGTTGGTCCCCCGCTTTTTGTGTGGTAAACCACAAAGAAAACCGAAGCCTTTTTGGGGGTTCCCCTTAAACAAGACACCCATATTTGGCATCACAGAGAGATTTATTTCCTATACGTATGGTTGTATTTGTTTGTTTATTCGGGCCACTTTGAGAGCACCGCCTATCCTTTAGCGGTTTAGCAGATGGAAGGCGCACAGTGACTTCACTCACCGATCCAAACTACGAATTAAAGGGATCTGAGCTGATTTTGGGTCGGGGGTAAAAGCTGAGGTAGTTGTGAGTTGAAAGCATGTGAAGACCATGATCGATGTCGATTGACAACAAATATGAGGCCTCAACCCCCCTGCTTTACCCCCCCCAGGACAAACAGTCTCTTGGAAACCTTTCGGAGAAGCCTTGGCGATGCTTACGGAAGCCATAGGGAAGCCTTTGGGGAGGCCTTAGGGAAGCGTTCGGAAGCCTTAGAAAAGCTTTGTGGAAAAAGGGGAGAGCCGAACCCCCCTCCCCTCTCCCCGCCCAATTGCGCCCCATGGTCATGGAAGCCTGTGAGGGAATCTAGGAACAAGAAATGCTGCAACAGTCTTATAACACTCCTATAAGTGATGCAACCTGTCTAAAAGGAAGGGAGGGGAGGGGTAAGGGGGGGTTGGTTGTGCTTTCATAAAAGTTCACTTCGCACTAGTTGGGATGGGGAAAACCCTACCAACACCGGAGTAAAGCACCAACCCAAATGGCACGAAGCAGATTTTGTTCATCAGTACGATCTATGGGAAGGTCGCTCAGCTGACTTCCTGGACTTTATACTTTTTGGGAAGACGGTTTTAGCGGTAAACAGAAAGTCAGTTTTTGTTTGGCCAATCCACTTAATCGGAAGTGCGGCAGTTTGATGTCAACTGTGCAATACGCCGAGGATGCACGCCTGTCGCAGATCATGGACAACCTGAAGATCATGCAGGACCTGGTCCGCCGGGCGGCTCAGGTTTGCAGCATCCACGATTATGATAGTGCGTTTGGCTGCCGGTGATCAAGTCGGGTTTGTAGTTTCGCGCTACTCGGCCGGAAGATCAATCCCCAGAATTAGGCCCTGCCAACACGTTGTGCCTGCAAGCTTGCGTTGCGCACGGGAGCTGATGCTGCCAGCATGTCTGGAAGGAAGCAAAAGAAATGCCCTTTGCCAGCGTCCTTATCCACGTCATTTGGAAGGTGAGGCTCACTTTGAGCAGGATCCCTCGTTTTGGGCCCAGGAACCTTTACTTCGTGATCCGCGTCTAAAGGCACCCCTCCTGTCTAAAGTTGCTTCCATTGCCACCCAGAAACATGCTGTACAGTGGCTATATACCCCACGATCTCCTGGCGGGCTGGAGCGGCGGGGTAGTGGTTCCAGGGGAGTGGGAATCATCTTGCCTCCAGGATGAACCGCAAGTGGAAGCAGCGGTATCTTACGCCCGGGCCGAACGGCACTGCTCAGGCAAGAAGAAGAAGAAGGAGGAGGTGGAGCTGACTCAATGAGCGAGACCGCAATGGGTCCTCTTGGCATTTGGATCGAGACCCAGAGCCTCGGTGAAAAATACAGACCGTGGTCCATTTGAGGTTCGGGGCATGGGGGGATGAGCTCTAAATTTCAGGGGACGAGCGCTAGGTCTCGTGACAAGACAATGGTTGCTTGGGGTTGGTAGGGGGATTCCGGGATGGACAATCACCGCTTAATAGGGATTCTATTCTATTGGTTCTGAGTCATGGAGCAATGACAAAATCCCACAGAAGCAGTTGGACCATGGCACATACAGTCAACAAGTGGTAGGGCACCCGGAAAGAGGGCGCTCCTGTGTTTCTTGCCAATGGGAGTACTCACTCCCATTCCTGGACTTCATGCTTTTTGGGAAGACAATTTTGGTGGCAAGCACGAAACAGATCGACTTGAATTTGGCCCACCCACTCAGGAAGCGAAGCATATGCTTGCTTGGTCAAAACCCAAGGTCGAAACCCAAGGCGCCCCCCAGCAGCTGGGCAGGAATTTTGCATGCAGCAATTGCGGGTGGGAACATGGATCCCCGGAGGGCTCACATCTCTAAGGTTCTAAACATGGACCAGACTCCAGTTTAAATTTTCTTGGGCAGAAGCTCTTGAAAGTCCGGGCAAACTATCTATCATCCCATGTTTTTAAGGCTTCTGCCTTGGACTCGTTGCCTCGAGAGCGAACGCTTCGCCAAAGTTTGCGACGCCTGACGCCTGGTTGCTTCGTGCGCGATGGAACTCAGTCCAACGACCGACCGTTTGAACTCTCATGTTGTTTTGGCATGTTTTGGCCCCTTTTTTAGCCAAGCGCTTCGAGTTGCAGCAGCTCTAAGTAACCGGACGTGAAGCCTGGAGGAAGGAACCTGTCTGATTGGTTAGGTTTGGGGGGAGGGAGTCGGACTCCGTAGTCCAAAAGAGGGATCGGAGGCAGGTGGGTCAGACTTTTTGGGAGGTCTGACCACCTTCAAAGTTGTCGTTTCCGTGGTCGAACATGATTGGTTTAAGTTGCAGCCACCGCCCGTGTCTTGTAGAACATTTTCCTTGAGAGTGACATGTCAGTATCTTTTGGTGGTGGTCATAAATATACACTAGGTATCATAAACTGATCCCATTTTTCGCCATGGTGGTGGGGTCTTTGGTTGGCGGTTGCCCTTGGGGAATTTCATTGGACGCGGTCAAGTTGTCATGGAATGGCCGGCGTTTCACAGAAAGCCCATGTTCCATTCGCGTCCGAGCCTGGCGTGTCAGGCGGTGTGCGCGTCTCGGAGTAGGTTTTGGCTGACTTGCCCAGTGCCAGAGACCCCCACAAAAGTGGTCAAGCTTTCGAACCTCTAGTTGTTGCCTTTGTTTACTTTTTGACGAATCAATATGGAGCCCAAACAGGGCCCCCAAAAGGAGTAGTGGTGGTAGTTAAAACAAACCCAGTGTTTCCAGGTACCGTTACAGGCACCCAGGGAAAACCATAATGAAAAAACCCAGAGCGTGTACCTACCTGGTTGCCTCCTATGGTGGCAACTGGAGCACTTGGAAATGTTTGACATTGAAAACCCCTGGACGTTGGGGGAACTTGAAGGGAGGTGCCGCGCTGCTGCGATACTCGTCATCCTTCACTGAAGTGTCTTTTTGGCAGAAGAGGGAACCACCCCCTCATTCCCACAATCCTGCTTCAGGAAAATGACGGGATATGATGCCAAATGGTGGGCACAAATCCAACAACTCACATTCCTGTCCACAGGGTTTCGGGGTCCGCTTAAAAGCTGTTTTGTGTTACAAGGTAGGCGGGATCTGCAATGCTATTTCGGTGTAACCCAGATGTGGGCCAAGGTTTGTTGGGGACTCCGTTTACTTTCAGCGCGCATTCACCGTTAGCACGGCCACAAAACCCACAAGTTAGTTCCAGCACGTCACGTCTCTCACCACGCTTTCCCCAAAGGCACGGCCGCTGAAAGCTGCATTGGTTGTGCAAACTCAGAGTCAACAGGAGTGCGCCGACAACATCCGTGCGTCGAGAAGAGAACTCGATCTATGCTCGCAAGCTGGTAAGCGCACCTGCTCACGTGCACCTGCTCGGCACTGTACCAAACCCCTTCCTCCTAAGGGCCTTTTCTGTTTTGGGGTGATTCCCTCAGAAAAACCAGTACATTTGCAGATCTCCCCACGATCCCTGACAAATACCAGTGCTTGTTCAGGTCTCATCAGAACCCCCCGCCCCCCCCTTGTAATAGAAACAGGGGGGGTTGTTGCCTCTTTCTTTTTTCCGCGCGTTTACAGGTCGAGGGGGCTTTGTACGTTGGGGCACTGGGCAAGAAGGCATGGTTCCCCATCCCTCTTGGTTTCCTGCGCGAGACTCGAGGCAAAACAAGCGTGAGGGGTGAGGGGTGAGGAATGGGAGAGATGGCAGGTGTTGTTTTTCCCCCCTGCTGGGGTAGCCTTTTTTGGGCTGTTCTGCACGCAATGCCATGGAGTGACAATTCTATTCTTGACGGGGGGTATGATTGCGAGGCAAGCCCAACGTGATTGTGGGGGGCTCTCTCAACCGATTTGCTTTGACTTGTTGTTACGTTATATATATATAGATGTGTATAGTATATATATATATATATATATACATATCTATTATAGTCAGGCAATCCTTGATTGGTGGTTTGGATTTGTGGTTTAGGGATTTGAAGCTGTGGTTCTTGTAGAGGGCAAATGGGAAGCCATCCACTTGGACTTTGGTGAAAACTTTCGGAGAGATCAACGGGCTAGGTCCTAAGGGGAAACGGGAATCAACCCTTGGAAAATGGAGAGCTGGAGGCTGTGGGGCCCCTTTTGGAAAGCTGCCTTCCGTAGAAATGTGACCGAAGCAGAACTGGGATTCCACGCACTGAACACCTGCGATGCCCAGTGGATCTGTCGTTTTTGTTTGAAACGAGCCAGACATGGGACCTTTGTCACTTCTTGCCTTCAGTGACAAGAAGTAGATGCCTCTACGGACTATTGACTATGTCGAGGCAACGGTTTTCTTGCATGCAAACACTCGGAGGGTTTGACTTCCAGAGTGCAGTTTTAGTCAAAATCGAGAGCTTGCAATTGAATCCTGACAGTTATCACAGGAAACAAACCAGGACATTTTGTTTAAGGCGATGCGAGCTAGCAACATTGCTGGTAGTCCGCTAGTTCGAGCGTCCCGCCCTCGGGGACGAAGAATATTGACGGCTCAGGCTGGATGTTAGTCGAGCATAAAACGGTGGACAGTGCAGATAGTCGGGTGGATCAAATGTCCGCCTATGTTTTGGGTTTTGACCTTTTTTTGCCATTTCACCCGTGCTGTGGGTCCTTGGCTTTGGGAATGATTGTAAGATCTGCGGAATAGGAGGTTTTGAATTTGGTTGAATGGTGAGTTTTCTTTTGGCATCCCTTTGAAATCTTTACAGTGTACGTAATTGGTTATTAGTTGGTATACTTTCGGCTTTGTAGGCAGAGGAGGCACCAGAGGACGAGGCTGAGGTGCGGGCGGGGGCTTGGGCTCCTGTAAGCAAGCAACCCCACCCTGGACATGGTTGCTCGACAAACGTTAGGAAGTAGAACTCTTTTGGACTTGGGAGGGAACACACAAATGAGGGAACCCCGAAAGGGGGGGGTCCCTTGAGTTTTAGAGAATGAAAATGTCCAACTTGCACTTGAAAGTAGTATTCGGGAGGAAATATCGTTTTCAAAATGTTGACTTTTCCCAGGTCGCGGAAGCGCCGCGCGAGTTTGGGGAAGGGGTTTCTCATTTATGTACTCGCGGAAGCTTCGCGCAAGGGCTACGATGGAATGGCGAAAGCAAGAAGTTGTAGTTTTCCTTTACGCGCGGAAGCGAAAACGAACTTCAATCCCATGTCTCAATCCGCGGAAGCGATGCGGAAGCGATTCCCTCTTCAAACCTCTTGCGGAAGGAAACCTTTCACGCCGAGTAAGCTCTGCGGAAGCCTTCGCGGAAGGGATTTGATATTTATCTTCGGTCGCAACTGGGTTTAGAACACTGCTCGCGATGATCGAACCTTCTTTTGAGATACTTGAAACACGTCCGTGCGCCGCTGCCTGCTGCCTGCTTTTCCTATGCGTGTTTCGTGGCTGCGTCATGCTAATTACGTCAACGACATATAGTGCACTTAACAACTCGTAGCCCCCAAACATTGTAAACCGATGCTGAGGAAAAAGAGCCGGTACTATCCGACACCAGGGTACAAGGGTAATTTAAGGGCTGCCGCCCAGTGCCGCCGACCCGCGTTATGTTTTGACACTTTTCTGTTCGGCTGCATGGCTATGCTTTGCTTGATGCTTTGTTGGTGGCCAGCGCAATTGACTGTTGTTTCTTCCCTCAGACACCAGTAGATTGCTAGCTGACAAGTGTTTCAGAGCGCAGGAATAGGTTCGCTGGATCAAAGCCTGCTTCAAAGTGTGTCGGAGTTCTTGCCTCTCTAAGTGGCTCCTGACGTTGCTCTCTCTGCATCGGCACTCGCTTCCCCTTAGGGGAGTTGAGGGATGCCCCCACAGGGGACTCCTGCCGATGCAAGAGCTAACGCAGGTGCCACCTGGAGAGGCAAGAGGTCCGGCACACTTTGAAGCAGGCCCCCAGATCTTTCGCACCTTTTGGGTGGATGCCCGGGCTCTGCTTGGCTGCATGGCTATGCTTTGCTTGATGCTTTGTTGGTGGTTAGCGCCCCCAGATCTTTCGCACCCTTTGGGTGGATGCCCGGGCTCTGTTTGGCTGCATGGCTATGCTTTGCTTGATGCTTTGTTGGTGGCCAGCGCAATCGACTTTTGTTTCTTCCCTCAGACACAAGTAGATTGCTAGCTGACAAGTGTTTCAGAGCGCAGGAATAGGTCCGCTGGATCAAAGGCTGTTTCAGAGTGTGCCGGAGTTCTTGCCCCTTTCAGTGGCTCCTGACGTTGCTCTCTCTGCATCGGCACTCGCTTCCCCTTAGGGGAGTTGAGGGATGCCCCCACAGGGGACTCCTGCCGATGCAAGAGCTAACGCAGGTGCCACCTGGAGAGGCAAGAGGTCCGGCACACTTTGAAGCAGGCCCCCAGATCTTTCGCACCTTTTGGGTGGATGCCCGGGCTCTGCTTGGCTGCATGGCTATGCTTTGCTTGATGCTTTGTTGGTGGTTAGCGCCCCCAGATCTTTCGCACCCTTTGGGTGGATGCCCGGGCTCTGTTTGGCTGCATGGCTATGCTTTGCTTGATGCTTTGTTGGTGGTGAGATGAATCGACTTTTGTTTCTTCCCTCAGACACTAGTAGATTGCTAGCTGACAAGTGTTTCAGAGCGCAGGAATTGGTCCGCTGGATCAAAGCCTGCTTCAACTTGGATCAAAGCCTGCTTCAAAGTGTGTCGGAGCTCTTGCCTCTCTAAGTGGCTCCTGACGTTGCTCTCTCTGCATCGGCGCTCGCTTCCCCTTAGGGGAGTTGAGGGATGCCCCCACAGGGGACTCCTGCCGATGCAAGAGTTAACGCAGGTGCCACCTGGAGAGGCAAGAGGTCCGGCGCACTTTGAAGCAGGCCCCCAGATCTTTTGGGTCCCATCATTCCCAAATTTCCGGGTCCCATACATCCAGAATTTTCCGGGCCCCAGAAAGTCCAAAATTTTCGGTTCCCATAAATCCCAAATCTTCCGGGTCCCATCAATCCCAAATTTACCGGGTCCCATACATCCAGAATTTTCCGGGCCCCAGAAAGTCCAAAATTTCCGGGTGCCAGAAATCCCAAATTTTCCGGGTTCCATCAATCCCAAATTTTCCGGGTCCCACACATCCAGAATTTTTCGGGCTTCAGAAATCCTAAATTGCGCGCTTAGTTCTTTGCAGTGTTTGTTTAGTTGTTCGTTTTGTTCTTTGTTTGTTTGGTTGGTTGGTTGGTTGGATGTGGTCGTACCGTGAAGAAGTCTGTTGTAATCTTACGGGGCCTGGTGGTTTGTTTGTTATCAGGAGCTGCCAAAATGGTGGGGCTTTGGGTTTGGTAGGGGATTTGGTACGCGTGCACGCCTGTACGCGTTCATGCCTATATGCATGTTCGCCTGCACGCATGTACGCGTGCATGGGTGTTCGCGAGTGTCGCGGTTGCCGTGCCAATGGGGAAGGCGAAAAACGTGCTATTTGGATGACTTGAAGCGTGTCATTTTTCGTGCCCCTGTGCGGGAATTGTAGCTCGTAGCATGTCAGATGTTGTTTTGCAGCGCAGGCGCAGTGTTTTGTGCGGGTAGACAGCGTCGCTGTTGCGGCAGTGCGATTTGCGCTTCAGGGGTCGTTGTTTTGAGGTGTTTTGCTTGGAATGCGCGTGCAACTGTTTGCTCGAGTGTTATTGTCGTTGGCCCCGTCGTACAGGCGGTTTGTTTTCACGACTTCAGATTTGCAAGAAATCGATCGAAATCATTCTGGCGCTGCAGTCCTGTGCCAGTTTTCTGAATGCGGCGCGCGTTGCTGCGTGATTGTGCGTGCCAGCCACGTGGCTGGCGCGTGCGCAGTGCTGGGCGGGCTCAGTTAAACGGAGGCGCTGCAGTCCTGTGCCAGTTTTCTGAATGCGGCGCGCGTTGCTGTACGGGCGCGCGTGATTGTGCGTGCTAGCCACGTGGCTGGCGTGTGCGCAGTGCTGAAGGGCATTTCTTGCATAGTGGCTAAAGGCACTTTAGAACAGAATGCCAATCCAGTTCAGGCTGGTTTGCATCCAAGCTAAGAAGGTTGGAAGCAAGTGTGAAACGAGGAAACGTGAGGGAACCAAACTAACACGTAACATGTGTTGCTATGAATGCATTGAGTTTGGTAGGCTTGGGTATGCATTGATCATTCCTTGATGTCTTGCCATTTTGGGACTCAAGTGGCCTTGAGCCACAACTGGCAATTTTGAGCTAACTAAGTTCAACATGCCCCTGTTGCGTCCTGGCATTGATGTGGCGGTGCACACGGAGTGCCGGATGCTGTCTACAGCGGCTGGGTTGGACTTCAAGCAGCACATCATTCTGGTGCAGGCCCGGGGGGACCGGGTCGCCGCTCTTCGGCTGTGGCAGTCGGTGGGGATGGTGGTGCATTTTCGTCCGGGACGGTTTCGAGGTTCCGGGGCTGCCCCCCATTTTGCACGTGCGCGCATGGAGGAATGCGCGTGGTTTGGAGCGGGATGATGACTTCGCCATCATGTTCCTGTCTGAGGAGGACGCCTATGCCGAGGGGGGCACAGCGCTGGCCGAAGCATGGCTGGAAGTGGCCGGCCAGGCGTACGAGCGGCGGCTGTAGCAGTGGCGGAGGGACCGCCGGTGGGCCGCATGCTGACCCTGAAAGGGGCGGCGAGCCCCGGCCCCGCTGGCCGTGCAGCCGGACCATCTTGCTGAGTGTGGAGGTCCTGGCGGGGGCGCTGATGGGCTTTCGTGCCATGAGGCTGTCCGGGGAGTTGACCCCGGCCCTCAAAAGGAGTGGGAAGCTTCATGCAGGCGGCGAGCACAGCATCTGCTCACCTTCTCGGAGAGGGCAGCCGTCATCAATGCCCTCAAGACCCGGGCTGAGGTGCGCACGCACATGGAAGGAAGGGGTTGTCCTCTCCCTCCCCAGCATGTGGATGTCGACTCTTTCTTTCAGTACAGAACTTCAGCACCGGCGAGGGCTATGGCATCATTGAAGTGCTTGGTGGAAGCCGATCCAGCTCTCGGCAAAGCAGCCCAGGCTGGGGAATCTGCCTGGCAGGCTGCAGTGGCGGAGCCGCCCATGCTCCCCATGCTGGAGGACATGATCGTGTCCAAGTACAGGGCCAATGACCCAGTATGGTCAGCTCTGCTGGGCTGGTGGCTGACAGCCACCGGAGTTCTTTGCTACGCGCACGTCATGAGGTCATGGCCCAGGCGGTTGAGCCACTCCACTTTTCATGGACGGTGCTCCAGAGGCAAACAACGGCAGAACAGGCAGCGGTTCGACTTCTGCATCCCTGCTGTTTTCGCCTGTAGCTGGCCCTGGGGGCAGATTGCGGCGAGGTACGCCCTTTCCTTGCGCACCAAGCACAAAGTCCTTGTCATTGCCCATGCCCTACAGGCCTTTGATGCCTGGGAGGTGATCCCGCCGGAGGCAGTGGAGGCGGTGCTGCCGGCGGCGGAGAAGGCGGTTGGCGCCGCAGTTGCTCAGGACAGTGCGGCCTTATGGACCTCGCCAGCGGAGAAGGCGGACATCAAGAAGCGCCTGGTGATGTTGAAGCAGCGCCAGAGCACCACTGCAGTGCGCCAGGCCAGTGGGCGTAGGCGGGATCGCATGTGGAGATGCCCAGCGCCATCAAGGGCAAGAAGGTGTCGCCCACGCTCCGTGATGGGGCACTGCTGTGTGCGCTGTGGCAATCCGGGGCATATGCCCAGTCGGAGGAGGATTGTGGCCGCAGGCACCAGTGTGCCATTCTCTCTCGCACGGGCCGGGTGTGTGGAGGGAACCACACAGCCGCAGAGTGCAGAGAGAAGCGCTGGGAATGCCGAGGTGGAGGAAACTCAGCCGATGCTGCGGAACAGGCAGCAGTAGCAGGCTTTAACCTGCTATCCGAAGCTTTTGTTGTGATTTTACAATCTGGGAACCGTAGCTGCCGTACCCTTCACACTCCTCCAGGCGCATTTGCCGCGCTAACTTGGGATATAATAAAGCTCTGTCAACATTGAAGGAAACCTCAGGAAATTCGCCAAACGGCAATTTTTGATTGAAACGGCTGAAATTTGTTGAAACGGCACTAACTTCTGCAGTTTGGCCAAAGGGCAGAAATTACGTACCCTCGGAAGATCCAGGTATGCATGTTCGCCTGCACGCATGTATGCGTGCATGGGTGTTTGCAAGTGTCGCGGTTGCCGTGCCAATGGGGAAGGCGAAAAACGTGCTATTTGGATGACTTGAAGCGTGTCATTTTTCGCGCCCCTGTGCGGGAATTGTAGCTCGTAGCAGTCAGATGTTGTTTTGCAGCGCAGGCGCAATGTTTTGTGCGGGTAGACAGCGTCGCTGTTGCGGCAGTGCGGTTTGCGCTTCAGGGGTCGTTGTTTTGAGGTGTTTTGCTTGGAATGCGCGTGCAACTGTTTGCTCGAGTGTCATTGTCGTTGGCCCCGTCGTACAGGCGGTTTGTTTTCACGACTTCAGATTTGCAAGAAATCGATCAAAATCATGCTGGCGCTGCAGTCCTGTGCCAGTTTTCTGAATGCGGCGCACGTTGCTGAACGGGCGCGCGTGATTGTGCGTGCCAGCCACGTGGCTGGCGCGTGCGCAGTGCTGGGCGGGCTCAGTTAAACGGAGGCGCTGCAGTCCTGTGCCAGTTTTCTGAATGCGGCGCGCGTTGCTGTACGGGCGCGCGTGATTGTGCGTGCTAGCCACGTGGCTGGCGTGTGCGCAGTGTTGGGCGGGCTCAGTTAAACGGAGGTGCTTACGATGTGGCTGGCGTGTGTGCAGTGTTGCACGGGCGCGCGTGAGCAGGTGTACTTACCATGTGGCTGGCGTGTGTGCAGTGCTGAGTGGGCTCAGTTAAACGGGTGTGCTTGCTATGTGGCCAACAGTTTGAAAGCAAAAAAGGAGTGGACATTTCCGGGAACCCCCCGCTCTCGTAACACAACATGGAGTCACAATTGGCCGCCCCTGTTTAAGACAAAAGATGGAGCAACCCCAGGTTGGAACAACCAAGTCTCATGAAAGTTTATTAAAGAAGACAAGGAAAGAAGATACGAAGAGAAGACGAGAAGAGAAGATGAGGAGAGAAGACAGAAGACGAGGAGAGAACACGAGAAGGGAAGACGCGGAGAGAAGACGAGAAAAGGAGACGAGAAGAAAAAACGGGAAGAGAAGACCAGGAGAGAAGACGAGGAGAGAAGACGAGGTGAAGAGACGGGAAGAGAAGACGAGGAGAGAAGACGAGTTGGGAAGACGGAAAGACGAGGAGAGGGGGACAAGACGAGAAGGGAAGACGAGGAAAGAAGACGAGATGAGAAGACGAGGAGAGAAAACGGGCTGAGGAGAGAAGACGAGGAGATCAGACGAGGAGCCCAAAATTTCCAGGCCCCATAAATCCCAAATTTTCCGGATCCCATCAATTCCAAATTTTCCGGGTCCCATACATCCAGAATTTTCCGGGGTCCAGAAAGCCTAAATTGCGCGCTTGGTGCCTTGCAGTGTTGGATCAGTTGTTTGTTTTGGTCTTTGTTCGTTTGGTTGGTTGGTTGGTTGGTTGGTTGTGGTCGTACCGCGAAGAAGTTTGTTGTAATCTTACGGGGTCGGTGGTTCGTTTGTTTTCAGGAGTTCAAGAGCGAGCGAGCGAGCTAGCGAGCGAGTGAGCGAGGGAGTGAATGAGTGAGTGAGTTGAGAGTGAGTGAGTGAGTGAGTGAGTGAGTGAGTGAGTGAGTGAGTGAGTGAGTGAGTGAGTGAGTGAGTGAGTGAGTGAGTGAGTGAGTGAGTGAGTGAGTGAGTGAGTGAGTGAGTGAGTGAGTGAGTGAGTGAGTGAGTGAGTGAGTGAGTGAGTGAGTGAGTGAGTGAGTGAGTGAGTGAGTGAGTGAGTGAGTGAGTGAGTGAGTGAGTGAGTGAGTGAGTGAGTGAGTGAGTGAGTGGCAGCGTTTCGCCAGTCTTTCCAGTCTGACAGTGGGACAGGGAGAGGGTAGTTGGAAGCCTGGTGGCCGAGCGTCAGCTCGTGCTGTTCTGGCGTGTGGCGCCTGTGGTTCAAGGCCGCAGGAGGTGACTTTGGCTGAACGTGGCAGCGCTTCGCCCGTCTTTCTAGTCTGACAGTGGGACAGGGAGAGGGTAGTTGGAAGCCTGTGGCCGAGCGTCAGCTCGTGCTGTCTTGGCGTGTGGCGCGTGTGGTTGAAGGCCGCAGGAGACTTTGGCCGAACGACGGGGCTAAGGCGACTGGTTGGATTGAATCGGGACGCGCTGGAGTGCTCTGTCTGTCCTTCCATTCTGACAGTGGGACAAGGGGATGGCAGCTGGAAGCCTGGTGCCCGAGCATCGGCTCGTGCTGCCTTTGGTCGAAGGCTGCGGGAGGTGGATTTGGCTGAGCGACGGGGCTAAGGCGAATGGAATGCTTGGATTGTGTTGGGGCGCGCTGGAGCGCTCCGTTCGCTCTCCATTCTGACAGCGGGACAGGGCGATGGCAGCTGGAATCCCTTTGGTTTGAAGGCCGAAGGAGATGATTTTGGCTGAACCACGGGGCTAAAGGGAATGGCTGGATTGAGTTGGGGCGTGTTGGAGCGCGCTGTCAGTGTTTCCAGCCTAACAGACCTGGTGCCCGAGCATCATTTGGCTACCGCCCTGCATGGTTTCAGGTGCGCGTGCAGCTGGCTGCTGAGAGATGCCGCCAGAAATTGTTCTGCGCTGTGTGGTACTGGGCGCAGGTCATGAGATTTCTCAGTGTGACTGCTGGCACGCGCGCAGGGGGCTGCAAGTTAGCACGCGGGGAATGCAAGGTTTGTAGAAAGACAAAGGCCAGCCAAGCGTCGGGCAAGCACGCGTGGCGCAAGCATGTGGGGAACGCGAAGGCTAAGAAAAGGTTAGGCCAAGGAAGAAGTTTGTGGGGGTCGCCAAGTGTGGCGCAGACATGAATGCTTGAAGCACCTGCACGAGCTGGATACAGCCACGCACAGTTGTTTATCCGGCCAAGGTGCTGGGCCACGTCCTACATTGAGGAGCGGGCTCAGTGTGAGTGCGTGAGGGAATGTTGTATACGGCGCATATGGAAGCGAGGGGAAGAGAAGGACTAATGACGTGCTTGGGCAACGCGCATGAGACTTTGCGCAGACACAGATGGCAGAAGCTCGTGGGAAAGGCAAGAGAAGGACATAATAAGTGGCGGGCAGACACGCATGGCACGTACGGTGGGGGCTGCAAGTATCGAGCCGAGCAGACATGCAGTGTGAGTGCGTGAGGGAATGTTGTATACGGCGCACATGGAAGCGAGGGGAAGAGAAGAACTAATGACGTGCTGGGGCAACGCGCATGAGACTTTGCGCAGACACAGATGGCAGAAGCTCGTAGGAAAGGCAAGAGAAGGACATAATAAGTGGCGGGCAGACACGCATGGCACGTACGGTGGGGGCTGCAAGTACCGAGCAGAGCAGACATGAGTGCCAGCAGCACCTGCACAAGCTGCACACAGCCTCACACCTTGTGGCGTTTATCCGGCCAAGGTGGGGAATCCAAGACAAAGAGCAACCGAGTGTCGGGCAGACACGAATGGCATAAGCGCGTGAAGGCAAGAGAAAGACGCACCAAGCGTCGGACAGACACGATGGCACGCGCCATGAGGGCTGCAAAGTAGCGCGTGGGGAGTGCAAGGCTTGTAGGAAGATAAAGGCTGGCCTGGGGTTGAGCAGGCACGCGTGGCGCAAGCATGTGGCGAATGGAAAGGGCAAGGAAAGGTTAGAACAAGGCAGAAGTTTGCAGACACGAACGCCACAAGCAACTGGCGAATCTGTAGTGTATAGGAAGGCGCAGGGGAAGAGAACCCCAACCAATCAATCATGTTCCGCGTAGACTGCGAGACAAGTCTGTGGAGACTGTAAAGGAAGGGTGCAGAGGACAGCGCAAGCAGCCCATAGGCACGAGTGGCAGCCGCACGTGGGGAACGCAAAGCAAGTGTGAAATTGGGGCGACACGAATAAGACGTTGGGTGGATACAGAGGGCACAAGCTTGCGGGGAAGGCAAGAGAAAGACGCACCAAGCGCCGGGCAGACGCGCGCAGCGGGCTGCAAGTTAGCGCGCGGGGACTGCCAGGCTTGTAGGAAGGCAAAGGCCAGCCAAGCGTCGGGCAGGCACGCGTGGCGTAAGCATGTGGGGAACTCAAAGGGCCAGAAAAGGCTAGGCCAAGGAAGAAGTTTGTGGGGGTCGCCAAGTGTGGCGCAGACATGAATGCTTGAAGCACCTGCACGAGCTGGACACAGCCACGCACAGTTGTTTATCCGGCCAAGGTGCTGGGCCACGTCCTACATTGAGGAGCGGGCTCAGTGTGAGTGCGTGAGGGAATGTTGTATACGGCGCACATGAAAGCAAGGGGAAGAGAAGGACGAGGGGAAGAGAAGGACTAATGGCGTGCTGGGGCAACGCGCATGAGACTTTGCGCAGACACAGATGGCAGAAGCTCGTGGGAAAGGCGGGCAGACCTGCATGGCACGTACGGTGGGGGCTGCAAGTACCGAGCAGAGCAGACATGAGTGCTAGAAGCACCTGCACAAGCTGGACACAGCCTCACACCTTGTGGCGTTTATCCGGCCAAGGTGGGGAATCCAAGACAAAGAGCAACCGAGTGTCGGGCAGACACGAATGGCATAAGCGCGTGAAGGCAAGAGAAAGACGCACCAAGCGTCGGACAGACACGATTGGCACGCGCGATGAGGGCTGCAAAGTAGCATGTGGGGAGTGCAAG